AGCTTTCGTCGGGTAGAGCCACAGCGAGACGTCGTGGCATCGACGGACTCTCGTCACTCCATTAGAAACTGCCCTGAACTTCTGTTCCTCAGAGCTTCTCGTTCGAGATTCTCCCTGGAACTCTGATTCTCTCTGGAACGTTGTTCAGCTCGGAACTTTGTTCCTTTCGGAACTCTTGTTCTGCATGGAACTAGGAAGTGTCGACCCTTTTAAAGAGGTCACTTCCGGTTCCTCTGAGAACTTCCTGATTGGTTGAACGAACCAACAGGGGTGTGGTTTTAGTGACGTCAGAGGGTCATTACATGTCAAGGAGACAGCGTAGATGTTTAAGAACAGACAGAAAGATGTTTTGAAGAAACAGAGACATTTAGGAGCCAGTCTTCCTTCTATCTGTCTGATAGAGATAAACATGACATTTCGTTCCAATAAACATGTTTTTGACCGTTCCTTCACTTTTGACCGACTCACTACTTGCTCATTTCAGACAGAAGATCAAAAAATGCATCATTACTTTGTAACAGGCATTTTAACTTGATTTCTTCTTTGAATGAGGATTAAAAATCATTAATACTGTTTCACAGTTGATTTAAAGTGAGTAGTTCACTTCTACATTTAAAATGGTTTGAACTAAACACACTTTTGATTATCAAGACATTTGTAAAATAGTAATGATGATATGAAAGAGAGTGTTCTTTCAATTGATTCGTGCAAGACACTTAGAAAGTCTCTGGATGAGCTTAATTTGTGTTTCTGGACTCAAATCAATGAAATAACAGTTCCTGTTCCAGGAAGGCTTTTGACCTGAGGCTTAGTTCACTACAAACATCAAAGAAAGCGTTCGGCGCTTAAACTCTCTGAATATCATAACCCAGTTCGTCAGAATTAACACGAATCACCGGAAGTTAGCTTAAATAAACCATCTTTATTTCCGGAGATGGTACGAACACCAACAGAGGAATTTGAATTTGGTTTGAATTTGGTTTACGGCCGAAAAGCCAGTACTCCGGACCTTAAGGTCCAAACAAGTAACCAGCTTACCTGAAATTATCGGGCCCAGTTCCTCTGCGTGTCCACCGCAAACCACCTCGAACCAATCCAGACTAGGCTGCGTCTCGCTGCACGTCGGGGTCACCATTCTGTCGTGGCTGGTTACCACGTCGTGTTCAAGACAGCTGAGACATCGCCCTCGGTATAAAAGATTTATTTGACAGACAGGGTTACAGGTATTCAAAGACAAACAATTACATTTGTAAAATATATGCATATATTTGGAGCATTAAAAGAACGAACCGTCTCGGTCTGGTCTTCCCCGGAAATGCTCGCTGGGCGTGTGTCATTTCCGGTTTTTATCAAAGCTTGAGAAAGCTAGCTCTTCTGATTGGTTTAGCCTTTCGGTTGCCATGGTTACTGGTCTAGCCCGCCCCCTGAAGGACGTTAGTTTCTACATTCCACAGATAAAAAGTTTATGGCACACTGAAATCGGTTCTTTGTTTTAGCTCTGTTTCAGTTAACTTGATTATACCTTAGTGATACCAAATGATCTTGAGTTAAAATTGTTTCTTTCTAGGAATAATTAATAACTATTAATTATTAACTAACTCATGTTTATGTGTTCTTAATTTATTTGTGTTTTAGTTCAGTTGAAGTCACCCTGCTCCCACATCTAGTAACATTCTGTTTTAGCTTACTGTGAAGATCAAACCTGTGTCCTCTCATCTAAACCGACCCTGTATCCAACAATTATTAAACAATTAAATGTTAATTGTTATTATTAAGAGAGAACCTGAGGGATTTTACTTAGTCAAACTATATTAAGTCTAAATTAAAGAAATGTGTTCTAGCTTTATTTATGTTAATCAGTCTGCTATCTGGCATGATTTGATTGCTTGTAATATATCAAATGTGAACTTGTAAAATTATCTTTAGCTGATATAAGATTATATGTAAAGGTAAAATAGTTAGAATTAGTAAACATTTTCTATAAATATAGTTCAACCCTGGAAGAAAGACACACACACACACTTTGTATAACATGACATTTGACTGCTTGATAGGAAATATAAAAAGGTATAAAAATATGAAATCCAACAATACATCGTCCAGTTTTAAGACTGGGCTTAAGACTTTCCTTTTTGCTAAATCCTATAATTAGTGTTGGCTTGTCATGCTTTCTTAAACTTAGACTACTAGAGGACAAATTGACCTCATTTCCTTAAAGGAATTATTAAAATTGAAAAGTTTTCATTTGATACTATCTCTATCTTAACATGTGATTTTTGACCTGCAATTGTATATATGTTCCTATCAAACCCAGCCAGTTGAAGCAGATGGCCACTTGTCCTGAGCCTGGCTCTGCTAAAGGTTTCTTCCTCACAAGGGAGTTTTTGCTTTCCACTGTTGCCTTCATGCTTCCTCAAGATGAGTTCTGTGATGGAGTAAAATTCAAAGCAGTCTGCTCCTCAGATACTGTAAATAATGTTAAATTGTTACTTTTATATATTGGCAGAGCAGAGACAGCCCCCCTCCTTTCTTTTTCTGAGGCTGTCTGTCACAGCAGAGCAGAGACTGTCTCTGCTCTGCTGTAACAAACAGTCTCGGAAAAAGTAAGGAGAGGGTATGGGTCTGTCTTATACCTGATTGAACTGTATGAGCAGCATGGATCGTTTAAAATAATCAAGCGTAAACTGAATTGAGCCTTTAGTCCCCCTCGGCAATCACTGAGCAGGCCAGGCCACCGGGAAATGCCCCATTTCTCCTGATGGCCAGTCCACCGCTCATCACAATGCTCTTGTTGGTCTCTTTCCATCAATCAGTCAATGTGTGTCGTGTAAAATCTTACATTGAAACCCCACGAAAGAGTGAGTTGGCGAAAGTCGAACCGCAAAGTATTGAGGGACTAATGTAGTTTCTAATCCACACATTTTTGTCAGGACCCTCTACTATTTTGGAGGACCAAAGCCCTATCCTCATATATTCAAACACCACATTTCATTTTAAGGCTAATCTGTGTTTAGTTTAGGGTTTTAACTCATTGGCATCAGAGGCATTTGTAATGTGTGTGTGTGTGTGTGTGGGGGGGGGGGGGGGGGTCATTGGGGAGGGGTTCTGGGGGCCCTCCCCCAGAAAATTTTGAATAAAGTAGATGCCATTTCCTGTAGTCTGGTGTTTTTTAATGGGTTGTTAAACATCTATGTTTACCTACACATGCAAGCACTTGATTCAATAACACTAACTATGTTTACATGCACACAATTCTTTGACCAGATTGAAATGTTTTCAGATTAAATAATCAAAATATATTGTTTACATGGGCACAATCCATTTACGATGAGCGTTTACATGCAGCAGGCTTTTATTCTGAACACAAGTACTGGCATGTGCAGAGTGGTAGACTCTCCTTAAAGAAATACCATAGAAGTTCTACTTCCATTTTACTTCCGGGATGAACGTAAACAAACCTGAACACCCAAAATGGACCCACGACAGGTTTTAATGATGGTGGAGACGTTGCTGCACTCCCTGTCTGAGCTACAGGTAATACAGATCATTTTGAGCTCTTTCAAAGTTTCTAGTAGAAATGTTGTGACGCTCACCAACTAGTTTTGCTTCTCCGACATGCTAATATTATTAGCATTAGCCAGGTGGAAATACGTGACATAGACAGGTCGCACATGCACAGTCAGGTCAGTTTTTCACGATCGGAAAAAAAAATGAAATATGAAAAATGAAAATGAACAAAAATGAACAGATTAAGTGTTTACATGCACACATTTCAGATTATGAATCAGCATAAACCACCCATCTCATTCCGAGTACAAATGATTTTGGATCGAACTAAATCAACAAAAAATAATCAGAATGGGGCATTTATTCATCTGGTCTGGAAAGCTCAGTCCTCACCTCCTTCTACAGGTGTGCAGTGGAGAACATCCTGTGCTCCAGCATCAACGTGTGGCATGGAGGCTACATAGCTGCAGAAAGAAAAGCTTTGCAGAGAGTGGTGAAGGCTGCACAGAAGTCTGTTGGAGTCAGTCTCCCCACCATCACAGACATTTACACCTCCAGATGTAGGAAGAGGGCCACCTGTATCATGAAGGACCCCAGTCACCCAGCACACACACTTTTTGCACCACTCCCCTCAGGAAGGAGGTTGACGAGCATTAAGTGTAGAACCACTAGACTGAGGAACAGCTTCGACCCTGAGGCTTTTAGACTCGTTAATCTCTAACCAGAATAATCACTGTGAAAAATTGCATCATGTTGCTGCTGATCTGTTTCAATGTTGCTGCTGATCTGTTTCATGTTGAGGTGTTCATGCTCATCTGCTCACACAGACTCATGCTCATGTTTGTGCTGCTGTTCGACATAATGTTTTTATTTATTTAGTGCTTAGTGTATTTCTGGTTGGTGTTTTTCTTGGTTCATATCTTAGATCTTATTGCTGTTTTTCTTATGCATTTTATTGTTGGAAATAGAAACAGTGCTGGTTGAACTATTATTTCATGGTAAATGTGGGGGTCCAAACTATTTTTTTTTTTATGTGAGGGGGACGTGTCCCCTTCACATTTAATTGTTGCAATGCCTGTAGTTAAACTATTATTTCATGGTAAATGTGGGGGTCCAAACTATTTATTTATTTTTTTTATGTGAGGGGGACGTGTCCCCTTGTTGCAATGCCTCTAAACTACAGAAATGAATGGAAATCAATGCATGGTCCTCAGAAAGATAAAAACACAAATGTGCGTGTGCGTGTGTTTGTGTGTAAGGGGAATCTCCTCCTCATTCCCACCCTCTTCACCACAGCAGCAGGCGCTCAGCTCAGCTCTCCACATTCTCTGAACCTCTTGCATTGCTCGGGTCTCTGCTGCCTCAGAGCTTAACTGATCCTCTCTGAAGAGAACTCTTCCTTCCTTTGCTCTGTAACAAACCAAGCGGTCCAAAGTGCTGCCTGAGTCTTTTTGGTCCCGATGTGGAGTCAAACATGTTCCAGTAGAGGGAAAAAGCCGTGTTTCGGACCCGGTGCGGCGCACGGTGTTTGCCTGTTGAAGGCAGGGGTCTCTGCGGCCGCACGCGCACCTGGAGCGCCCGAGACACCGTGAGGCACACAGGATGGTCCAGAACGTGATCTTTGTGTTTTTCCGCAGGAGACTGAGCCAGAGGCCGGCGGTGGAGGAGCTGGAGAGTCGGAACATATTGAAGCGTGAGTACTTTGGACAGACACAACTTTTTATCCACAAACACAAAGAAATTATGACTTTTCTACCAAAAAACAGACACAAACATCTTTAAACAGCACTTTAGTCATGCAAAGAAAATGTGCTTATTTTGAGCAATTTGTATGAGAGAAGTTTATTTATTTTATGCTCTTAACATTTACTGACAATAGACGTTTAAATTAGTCATTTTAGGTTGTTGACGTGTTTGAGAAGTTAGTTTCTGAATAATTTGGGAAACTTTACAAACCAGTTTGTGAAATGACGTAACCCTAAATAAAGGCCTGGCTGAAGTGTTGCACATCTCAGACCACAGTCCTGGACTGAGACCATCTGATGATGACAAATGACGGTGCTGCAACTGTTTAGATCAAACTTTAAAACATGGAATGGTCTCATCATGTTGGGAGATGTCAGACACAGAATGTGTGGTGTGGATCACTCTCAGGTACTACCACTCCAACTTTTAGCTCTATGTAAAACTGACTGAGTTATGGCCACATCAATGTTAATTAGCTGCAATGGCCATTTAAACTGAACTGACTCCATATGTTAACTATTTTCAGAAGTACATCCAAAGTCATGAAAGTTTTCTTGAAATCCATTTGAAGATTCACAAGATATTTTGCTAACAGAGAAACAGGACAGATTCCAACAGTTAATGCTAAAGTTTTAAGAAAATATTTGGTGCTATGTGTACAACTTGTATTTTGTGTTTTGTAAAGTCAGTTGTAGCTTTATAATTAACTTTTATTTTGAAAGTTTGATTGAAATTCATTCTGTGGTTTATAAGATGTTTTGCTAACAGACAGACATGAAAACATGATTGTCCACTTTTGCCTTTTGGTAATGGCTGATGAAAACAGACATTTGAGGTTAAAATTTGTTTTATATAACTAAAGAAATATTTTTAGAACTATTTATTGCAAAGAGACGTTTTTTCCTACGCTGCTTGTTTGCAGAGATCTAATAATATAGAGCTGGTGAACAAAATGAGCCTTTGTCCTGTATGAAATTAGCTTAGTCGCTTTAACGTTCTTGTAATATTTCTACAGGGCTTTGCCCTCACAGGAGTGAGGATTTAAGGTGCACGTTTAGTTTTGACTACGTCACACGCAGCATTCTTAAAGCCACGTTCTGCATGAAGAACACGTCAGATAAAACATCCTCCCTGTCCTCATATAAAAAATCATGAAACAAGTCCCACGTTCTGTACTAATCTGTGTCTCCTGGGTATGTTGGGCCACCTGTGAACACTCAGCAGCTTTTCCTGTTGCCTACACACACTTACCATGACACACAGCCTGAACCACAACAACACACACCACTGCGTTCTCTTTGCTTTACAGCAACAAAATATAGAAAAAGGGCTGGGCATTATGTAAAATATAAATAAAAGTAGAGAGCAATGGTTTGTGAATCTAATGAACCAAATTTTTGTTAACAATGAAACAGAAAATATTTAAGATGTTGAAATTAAGGAATTGTGTCATTATTCATCAGTCAAGGAAACACACAACAGCTTACAGGGGGAAGAATCAGTGTTGTTTTGTGTTTCCTTGACTGATGAAGCCTTCCGGACTGAAGGCGAAAAGTTTCAGCACAAAAATAGAAACTGTCCAGATGACCTGACTGAAAAATGTTGGATTGTATACCTGGATTATTGAGCATGAACTTTGTTGTTTTCAACCAGTTTGACAAGACTGTCAACAAGGAAGAGGGCCGGCAATGGAGGAGGGGGCGCACCAAAGAGACCATCTTATCACAAGCAGAACTGGTTTGTTCCACTTTGGAGTAAGCTGTTGGGGGAAGAATCAGTTTTGTTGTGTGTTTCCTTGACTGATGAAGCCTTCTGGACCGAAAGTGAAACGTTTCAGCACAAAAACAAACAAAAAAAAAAACTGTCCAGATGACCTGACTGAAAAATATTGGATTGTATACCTGGATTATTGAGCATGGACTTTGTTGTTCATCTCAGTAAGTTGTTCCAGATCCATTTTCCCTCTGTGAACTCTTCTGTTAACAAGTCTGTAAACATGTAGGAACTGAGGAGAGCAGCTCATGGAAGTTTTGGAGCAGACAGTGTCCCATTCTTGTCTGATGGACGTTCAACAGTCCCAGCTCTTTTATAACAGATCATTTGTTTCACGATACTTTCAGTTGGTGAAAGGTCTGGACCAAAGGCAGAGCGGTTCAGCGCCTGGACTCTTGTACTATGAAGCCATTTGTTGTCTCTCATCGCAGCGAGAAGAGGGGGAATTAGAAATATTGTCCATCCAGATGTGTTGTGGGCTGGATAACTTGGAAAAATAAGGGAGGTACCAACTTCCAGTTAGGTTTGTGGCTGCATCTGTTGCTGCTGTTACACTTGAATTTCCCATTCATGGGACAATAAAGGCTGTTTCTAGTCTATTCTATTTTATCAAGGCACTTGAAATGTTTCTTTTGAAAACTGGGTTGCCACAGCAAAATTCAAGATAGCTGCCACCATATATATATATGTAAACCAGTCACCCCTATCATTTGTGGACACTATACTTTCTATATTACTTAAAGATATAGCTTTCTCAAATGACTGAAGTGGCCAGTGGGGTGGCCGAAGAATAATGTATGTGGGCCAAGGCCACCAATGGCCACCCCCTGGCTCCTCCACTGGATGTGGTGGTGGATAATGTTGCTCCCTCCACTTTCCAGGATCTGTCACTCTACACTGCTTCTATTCTTCTACACAGTGTAACTCCTGCAAACTTGAATGTCTTGAACTGAAAAACATTAAGGTTTACTTCATTTTCTGTTCAACTGCTGTCCAGACAAACACACATCTCAAAAACTATCAACATTCACTATTCAAATCCATCAGCGACAGAGGACAGCAGCGTACTGCTTGTTTTAATAGATGCAGTTCGTGGTGCAGCAGTTTATAGCTGATGAAGCTTTCCCTGAAGAAGACATCATCGTCTGCGTACGTTCTTCTACAACCTGTTCATACTTCCTGCTTTGATTAAGCCTTTCTGGCTGCCTGTTCCACAGACTGGATGGTCTCCCTCTCTGCAGTGGCCCTCAAGGGTCTGAAGATCACAGACATCCTAGACATTTTTTGATTATATCATGAACTGGAGGTGATGGATATTCAACGACTTCCCATGTTTGTTGTGAGGATCATGACTCTGAAACTGTTCCTGTTACATGCAGTTTTTTGCAAACTGGTGACCCTCTGCCCGTCTTTACTTCTGAGAGCTTCAGCATCTTGTAAACTGCTCTTTTTGTACCGTCTTCTTCCTGACCTGTTGTCAGATAACCCACTTTGTTTTAAAATGCTCCTCAACCCATTTTATTATCTACACGACCTATTTCTACAATAGTTTGTTGCCACAGGTCCAACTTTTTTGAGACATGTTGCTGTCGTCAAAACCAAACGTACATATGCTCCTCTAAAAATGGCAAGTGTTTGAATACTTAGTATGTTTACTATATTCAACAATACAATAAGGAGACTTGCAGGTCATTGCATTCTTTTTTTATTTGCATTTTAAAAATCATATGTTAGTGCTCTGATCTGCTCTCGCCTAACCCTCGACCTCCGCTTACACCCCTGCTCACTAATACATTTATATATCTGATACACTGAGAGGAACTGCTGAGAATCACCAGGATAAAAGTTATTGAATCTTTTTTGCCTCTTTTGTTCAAATGTTCCTGTTTTTTGTGTTAACAGAGAGAAATGACCAGAGTGAACAGGAGGAGAGGAGGGAAATCAAGCAGCGACTGAACAGAAAGGTAAGATGCTTCACTCCTCGGTTCTTTAAAAATAAGTCTTGCTCTTAATGGCGTCTACTGAGAGGAATCTTTATCCTCCAGCTCAACCAGCGGCCGACAGTGGACGAGCTGCGGGAGAGAAAGATCCTGATCCGGTTCAGTGACTATGTGGAGGTGGCTAAAGCTCAAGACTATGACAGACGTGCAGACAAGCCGTGGACCAGACTGTCAGCTGCTGACAAGGTTTATAAAGACGATTTCTCAAAAATAATCCAACTTTGATTCAAATGGTTGTTTATTATTCCCAAATCTTTCAGAATGAGTTCAGTTCTTTCTTCTGTACTTCATCCAGTACAATAACAAAACAAATACACTTTTCTTCTTCGTGACACCTAGTTCTATTCATGTAATCTGCACTTCCCAGATGTTTCTCTATTCTGGCTCAGACTTTAACACATCTGGACTTTGTGTGGCTTCTTCTCTGCAGGCGGCCATCAGGAAGGAGCTGAACGAGTTCAAAAGCAACGAGATGGAGGTTCATTCTTCCAGCAAGCATCTGACAAGGTTGCCATGACACATTGTCTTTTTCCTCTTGTTGCCTTTGTTAGAGGCTGGTGTTGAACAGGGTCAGGGTGACATTGTGTGTAGACTCCAGAGAGCTTTATCTAACGGTTTCACATCTATGAGTGCACAACATGCAGAACAAAACCTACATTTAGCTGTAGCCAGTCCTCAGGAGATGAAAAAGTTGTGCTGTTTTACGCCACTTTTCCATAATAATGAAAGTTCTTGCTCGGATAGCTTACATTCTGCTTATGTTGACTAAATTAGCAGGGGCTGTGCTTACATAAGACCCCCATAATGGAGAAGCATTGTTCAGCCAGCTAATAATAGTTCTCCTGCCGAATGAAACCTCTCTGTGAACAAATGAAGGTGGTATCTCACTGCAACTGTTGCAACTGGTGACACAAGTTTTTATACGTTGATTCTATCAATCTGTCTGTCTGTTTGTCATCTTTATCTTTTCCATCCATCCTTCTGAATTGTGCATGTTGCAACAAGGCAGAGCGGAAAGCAACCAATGGCTGATTTTTTTTTTTTTGCCTTGTCCACCTCCAAGAATCTAAGTAAATAGCGAGTGGAGCAAGGCCTGTTTATTTATGTTTATTTATTAATTTATTAACCTTTATTTAACCAGGCAAATCCCACTGAGATCACAGATCTCTCCTGCAAGAGAGGACTGGGCCTGAAGACAGTCTAACATACATGTTTTTGGTCTGTGGGAGGAAACTGGAGTACCTGGAGAAAACCCATGCAAACATGAGAAGAACATGCAAACTCCACACACTCCACCGGGGATTGAACCAGGACCTTCTTGCTGTGCGGCAACAGTGCTAACTGTAAGAGTTCCACTGCCTGCAGCTCCTCCTCCAATTGGCTGCTGATTACCACCAGCTGGCAGCCATCCATCTGACGAGCTCCTGCTACTATTTAAGGCTGCAGTCCAGTGTGACTCACCACTGGAGCATTGTACCCTATTTGGTATTTATGCTTTTGGCCAGTTAAA